GCGGCCGATTTCTAACAACTTATTTTTCTGTGAAAACTTCGTAGAACTTCGGAGACATCATTAATATAAATAATTTTAATCGCCGTTGAATAAGAAATGTTTCTTTCACAAGAAATGTATAAAATTACAGTACTGTATTAGACTTACGGTACCTAATTTACATACTGACAGACGATAGTTAGCGTAAAAATCTCCGTAGCGTGGCGCCACGCTAGACGGCGGAAATTATATATTTAATTATAACAAAGTTACAATAAGTTAATATATAATTATATATACAGTACCTAATTTATATATAATTAATATATAATTATATGTACAGTACCTAATTTATATATAATTTATATAATATTGTCCAGACGATAGAAATCTATCCGTAGTTGGCGCTACGGACGGCGGGAAAGTAGTTCGGCTGCCCGATGACGTTTGAGGTGTTTATAGGGAACTTTTACTATTTTTTACGGATACTGGTAGCAATTTTTTCGTAGTTTTATAGGAATCATAATTATAGGGACCGTAATTATAGGGGGGTCGACTGTAAATAATAGATTTAGAACAGTAATAATTAATTGAATTCTTAACTTGTGCTGAGTTTCTTTTATAATTTTTTTTGGAGGCATTAAGAAGTCAATTTTTTCACTCCTGTCATGGGTTTCTAGCTTCTTCAAAGCAGCAAGCTGACATTTTTATTACCTTTATTCATGTTATCTCATTGTACATTTAATTCATTTATTTACAAAAGATCAAGACAATATTCACAATTTTAATTTTATTGATTAATGAATACTGTATTTCTTTCTAACTAATGAATTTTAATGAAAAACTTAAACATTTTTTTACTCACATATTTTATATATATAAATTTTTTATATTTCAGAAGATACTTCTCAAACTATGGATTCAGTTGACAAAGATGTCTCGGACGTTCAAGAAAATGATCAATCTTTGCAACTAAATTCAAATGAAATGAATAATTTGACTGAAAATTCACAAATACAGAGTGATGAGGAATCTGAAAATGTGCTAGGTGAATGCAAAACATCTAAAGAAAATGAAGATAAGTTAAGACAAATTTCATTATTACAGAACAAATTTTCTTCTAAGAGAACAGGATTATACAATTGTGATTTGTGCGGGAAAGGATTTAATAAAACTCTGTATCTTTTTCGGCACATCAGAAAACACACGGGAGAATTCACCTGTCAAAGATGTCATAAAGTTTTTGCTAGGAAGGAAAATATGATAAAACATAACTGTCCAGCAATGATAAATTCGCAGGGTGATGGGAACTTTGAATTTTCTTGTAATTATTGTAAAAAATCATTTTATACGGAGAAACTTTTAGCCAAACATAAGATCAAACATACTGGAGAATTCACCTGTTCCGATTGTAAAAAGAGTTATTCTACTAAGGTTAGTATATTTCATATATTAGAAAGAAAATTTTTTATAAAAACAAATTTTTAAAATATCTTAAAAACGTTAAGATAAATTAAATAACTTGTTCATTTTTTTAAACTATAAATGCATTTTATCAGAGACAAAACAATACTAAGGTTTACAAAACATTAGCATTTATTTCTATGCATTTCGGATGCAAATTTTTGTTTCTTTTGCACCCCTCTTCAGGTAGTACAGACCTAAATTAGGGGAAAATATATAGATAGATCAAAACAATACAACATTTCAATGCTTCACATTGTACAAAATAACCTCTTGTGCTAAACACAAACTGCTCCGTTTTACCAACCCTCGAGGCATAATTTTACCAGCCTTTGTCTGTTTTTGCACTATTTTAACCTCACCACATTAGCCCACACATCATCCATCTCCATCCCATTATTTAGATTAATACAGTAGAGCATTGATTATCCAAATACCGATCAACCAGAACATCAGTTAACTGAAAGCATTCCAGTCGGCAAATTCAAATTTTCGCTAGGGATGTGGCATTGCAGCACTCTTTCCCTGTCTGCCAAACTGAACTGTAGGCCTAGTTTAATGTATTACATTATGTAAGGTATACATTTGTAAGATGTGTGATACAAATTATATACAGTACAGTTTTGTGTTTAATATATTTTTTTGTAAATGATCAGTTATCTGAACAACCCCAGTCCTAAATTGTTTCAAATAATCGATGCTCTACTTGTAGTGCTATATGCCCTTACAAACATGAAATTTCCTTGAATCTGTATAATATCTTTTTCTTTGTGAATTATTTTAACATTATTCTTATTAATTAGACAACCGTATTTATTACAATGAATTTCCTATGGCAATTGGTTATTTTTTAAGCAAATGGTTGTTTCATGTTCTCTTACCCTATCTCTGAGCTGTCTTTCTATTTCATCTATGTAAATTACTGGTTTTTTACATGTACATTTTAACTCATATACTACTACTATTTCATCAAGTTTTTCTTTATTTTTAATTTTATTAATATTAACATTATTTTTGATTTCATTTTTTAGTTTGGATTCTAGTACAATTCCATATTTTTTTAACACGTTTTTATATTTTTCATATCTCTTTATTATATGGGAATGACATATATATCTTAAACAAATAATAAAACACCAAATAAAAGGAGACATTAAAAAATTTGGAAAAAGCATTAAGAAAGATGAGATAATGTTAACAGAAAGGGGGAGGAATTATTGAAAAATATCTAAAGAAAAATAATTTAAATCTAATTAAAGCAAATAAGACAGACCAAATTATAATTGTTAATAAAGAATGGGAAAAGAAAAAATCTGAAGTTGTGTTAACAGATGAATTTATAGAACTAACCATAGATCCAAAAAAAAAGAAATAGATGAAAAAAGAAATCACAAAATTATATAAACAGAAAAAAGTTACATCAAACGAGAAGAAACAAATGCTCAACTTTGATGATATTAGAAAACCACACTTAAAATTACACTAAAAACACATAAAGCAGGAGATATATGCAGACCATTAGTAGATTTTAAACATACAATATTATTTAATTTAGAATTATTTATTGAAAATAGTCCCTTATTCAAATTATTCAATAAGAAACACCGATGAATTATTAAGAAAAGTGATGCATGTAAAGATGAAGTCAATGTTATTAAGGTTATACAGGTTATTAAGTTTGGACATAGTATCTATGTACCCATCAGTAAAGTGGAAACTTATTGAGAAAAGTCTACTTAATCTAGACATACATAACTGATTACTAGAATTAATAAAATATAATTTTGTGAATAATTACTTTCATGTTGAAGACAAAATATATAAAAAGACAAAAAAATGAAATTAGCATAGGCACAGTTATAGGCCCAAAACTTTTCAAAATATGCATGATAGAAATAGATAAAAAGTAAGCAAATTTAAATGGAATAATATTTATAACAAGATATCTGGATGATGATATAATAATATGATATTCTAATAACTAATGATAATATAATCTGTAATTACGCAAATACATTATGTGATACTTTAAAATTTGAAAGTGAAATAGAAATTAAAAATGAAATTAATTATCTAGACATAACTATAAATTGTGGAAAAAATGTACTTAATGTAAAACCATATAAAAAAAGCTGTAATATGGATAAAAATCTAAATTATAGATCGTATTGTCTTCTAGCAACAAAAAGATAATTCTGTGACAGCATTATCTAAGACAGTGATGGGCAAACTTTTTAAAGAGCGGGCCAAAGGAAAAGAAGAAAACTTTAGGCGGGCCAATATAATTGTAACCTAGCGCTGCATCTGAAAACATGTGGCGCTATAAAAACATGTGCAGGCCGTCCGCCATATTTCTTTTTCTCTCTTTCGCCTACGCTACGCACAACGAGTGGATGTTCTGTACCGAAGCATGCTTGTAACCGATCAAGCTTTTACTCAATAAGTGAAAAACAAAATTTTGTACATGATTGTAAATAAACTTTCATGGTGAGATATAAAGCTTCGGTTATTTTATATAATCAACGAACACTCAAGTTAAGTGGTGCATCAACCACCACAGCCTGTATTCTTTTTTACTCGTCAGATTAGGAATAATGTCGCGCGGGCCGGATAGAACATTTCAGGGGGCCGCATCTGGCCCGCGGGCCGTAGTTTGCCCATCACTGATCTAATATATGGAATAGAACTTCTAAAGCAGAAGATAGAAAAAACAACAAAGTGAATTAATAAATAAAATTATATTAAACGATTACACCAGTAGATTATTAGAAAAACAGATAATGGAATTTATAAAAAATAGATTTAATNTTCTTGATTTTATCATTTTATACATTTCTTTGGATTTCCAAGCTGAAGAAGAAATACGTTAAGAAAAACTCAAAATTGTTTAATATCAATGGATTTATGCTTCAAATCATTATAGTTTATAACTGAAATGGATTTTAAATGGCTTAAAAACATACTATTAAGCTATGTTTTTAAGACTAAATGTAGCACATTGTATATGATTAATTGATCTTTTTCTTATTTAGATTACTATAGATAATCCAAATTTCTAAATTTACATTGTGAGAAATGCACATTAAAATATAATTTTATACAGACTGTAGAAAAAAAAAAGATTTATTTAAATATATATTTGCATCATATTACTTGCTTAAAGCACATTTTCACACAAAAATCAGTTATTGTTTCATCTATGTAGCAGAGTCAAAAACAAGGTTTTTTTTATTTGGTTATAGATAAGTTAAAAATTAAAAACATGAAACAGATAACATATTCAATCTGTTTTTTGATTTAGTCACCTTGTATGTTGAGTCTTACATCATAGATATAGATCGAGGAATTAAAACTCTGATAAATAATGCATTCTTTTAACATTCCCTTGTACATTTAAGAGACTATTTCTGAATTATTTTGTGAATAGAAGAATCAAATTCTGAATATGTTTTCTAATGTTAAAGAATAAATGTATGAAGTTAATTTTCTTTGAAACTTTACACATCTTTACTCCTAATATTGATATAAATACAAGAATCTCGAGTGAATTTAAATGAATGCTTTCTGATTGCATTAAAAGAGTGTATCATATATTTATTTATCTATAATTTAATGAAGTAAATAGAAAGTTAAGAAGTTAAAACTTGGCATAAAATAAATTGTTATAATAACAATAAAAATTAAAATATTTTTTGCTTTCTTTTAGAAATCTTCATGGTGAAAAGAAATTTTCATGTGATTATTGTGGAAAGAAGTTTCATAGGAAAGATATATTGCTCGAGCATCATGCCGTACATGGAGCACCTAGTTTTCCTTGTCCGACATGTCATAAACGCTATGAAGCCGTCTACTGAACAGTTTAATTGTAGCATCTGTAACAAAAGTTTTACTAAAGAAACATATTTATTAAAGCATCTTCCTGTACATACTGGTCAGCATTCTTGCCCCATTTGTGGAAAGTGGTTAAGATCTGTGGAATCTCTTACCAATCACATGAGAATGTGTGGCCAGGTTAAAGAAATTGAAGTTAATGGTCAAGCAAAATGTCCTAATTGTCAAGAGGTAATTGTTTTATCTTATGAAAAAATATATTTAAAGTATTATTTAACTTTTCTACATCTCTAAAATAACATTTTAAAAGAGGTAACATTTTATGATGGTTGATTTAAAAAAAATGCAGTACAGGTAACCCCCGTATAACACGGCACTTCTATAGTACGGATTCGCTCTAACACGGTTCGAGAATTGGTACCATCCCCCGTATAACACGGTACTTTTATAGCACGGATTCACTCTGACACAGTTCAAGAAATGGGTAAAACCCTTGTACAACATGAAATGTAATAAATTTTTACATACTTAAGTAATAATAGTTCACGAAAATTATTATTTTCGTGAACTATTAGTACTTAAGTATGTAAATTTTCTCTTCTCGCCTTCTGTCGATACACGTGGTCCTTCTCGAAACTTGTTTCAATGTTGCCAGATCGCGACGCTTCTGCTTCTGATGTTGCCGAATGTTTTTCCCTTATTCCATACTTGCTTTATTCTTCATAAGTGCTTAGCACCATATAAGGAAATTTATAAAGACCTTTTAACTAGAAGCAAGCAATCTAAAATTACATACATTTTGCAAAAGGTAAAGCATGGATCTGAAGATAATGCAGAAAAATGCTCAGAGGATAAGGATAACTTGCCAAAAAGAAAACGCTCTCGGTTAATTAATAGTGTTTTTAGTGATGACGAAGAAAACATTGTTTAATTTATATTAATATGTATCACTTAAAAAAATTTTAATGAAGATATTTATCTTAATTATGAAAATATACTAGCATGTTTTTTAATTTTTGGAACCTAACCCTCCTTTTCGTACTAGTTCTTTGTTTCGCATAACACGGATTTGCATAACACGGCAATTTTTTGGAACGTAACTACCGTGTTATACGGGGGTTACCTGTATATCTAAATTTCTGTTAATAAAATTGTTTGCTGTTCTGTTGAGAATAACATTTTAAACTGTAAAATTATCTTTATTAGTAATTTAAGCAAATTATTCATGAAAAAATATTATACATGCTATTTTGAAGACAAATATAAAAATAACTTCAACCTTCTTATTATGTCTCTAAAAATATATATACAAGTAATAGGAGTTTAAACAGTTCATCATCCCAGATTTTTATTGTTACATATTATTTATGTTAATATATAGATTTTAGCATTAAAATATATTCAAAATGATCTTCATAAATTTGTAATAAATGGTGAAATTTCCATAAATATCATCAAATTCTCAAATCAAAAATAATTTTCATATTTTTTCCCCTTTAATTTTAGAACATTTTTTTCCTCTTATTTTACAATAAAATTAATTTATTACACGTTTTAAGAGTTGTGAAATTATTACCGTATATCTTGTGTAGCATTTTTGTCTGATATTACTAGGACATTGTGCAACTTTGACGTATTGCAATAGAATTGAGACAGCCAGAAGGAAAGAATCAATCCTTGCACCTGTTAGGCACAGAAGAAGGAGAGAATCAATCCTTGCGCCTGTTAGGCACCTTTTGTGGTGGCAAGTACAAAGTTCACCATCAGGCACTTGTACAGTGCCTGATGGTGTACAAGTGCCTGATGGTTAACTTGTACAGTCAGTGCCAGGCACTTGTACAGTGCCTGATGGTTAACTTTGTACTTGCCACCACAAAAGAGGCTATCCATGTACCTACAGGCCACATGAGACACAATCCTTGCACTGGCCAGGTATGGAGAGATGATTCAAGAACAAAGCAATTGATAGTGATTGCTCATTTTGTACCTATTAGTTTTGTTCATTTTTTGTACCTATTTTCTGTTAGGTGCACATAATACTGTTTTTATTTTTGACTCCTAGGCCTAAATTTCTTCAGGTGCACTTGTTGCATCAGAAAGCATGGACATTGTCACTGTAATACATTTGTATAACGAAAACAAAGTCATGAACTCCTATTTTTACTTTCCTGGCTCTGTTATAGATAACAGAGGGATTCATGCTATTAAATTTTGGTGGTTTAAGGTTTTGTTGGGGAGATAAAGGGTGGTCGTGTGTCATATCTCAAGTAGGCTCAGACTTAATGACAATTTTACTCATTATCAGCATTTACAATTTTTTATAAAACCTGTCCTTAATCTCAAAATTAAGCTTTTGACATTTTATAATAATTAAAAATGTAAACAGTTTTTTTTAATGAAATATTGTAACAGATGCACCACCAGAATTTTAAATGTTGCTGGAAAAGTTAAGCTATTCGTTACTGGATTTTTTACATTTAAATGGACTCACATTACATTTCTGGATTCTTCATCTCAATGGAAATTAGCAAAGTTTTATCAAAATTGATTCATTCAATTTTGAGAACAAACTTGATTTTATAAGCTCATGCAAGATGTGCTAGTGAAACATCACACTACATCGTTTTGTTGTGTGTGCTTGTGAAACAACCTTATATCTCAAAAACAAAATCATGGACCCCATTTTTTATTGCATTCTTGGATTCTGCATCGCAATTAATGGAAAATGACAAAGTTTAATCAAAATTGATCGAACGGATTTTGAGAACAAACACAATTCTGTAAGCTTTGTAGAAGCTTTATTAATATTCTGCTTCAATTAGGTGAAATATAAAAACTTCTGTTGGATAAGGTAAAGATAATTTTATCTTGCATGAATGCTTATTTGTGAATATATAGTTGAATGAATCTTCACCTATGAATACTGGTGTCATCTACTGCTCCAGGGATTCAGATTCAAGTTAAGGTTAGATTCTCCGAAACTTTCATGTATAGTTTGTCTCAGATAGGTCAGACCCTTTTCCTCATAACCTGACAGGCCATATCTAAAACACATTTGACCAAACATAAATTGGGATTTAGCTGAATTCATTGTGGATATGAAGAAAGTGTTTTTTAGTGCCCACAGATTAGAAAGAATTAAAAAATTGTATAATAAATTATCAATCACTTTAATTAAGAAATCACACACATACATATGTACAAATGATGTGTGTGTATATTAATGTTTAATGTTGTTCTTTCTTAACAGGTGTTTACAGATATAATAGAGTTTAGACGTCATCAGTACGAACATACACATATTCATGCTTGTGAAACATGTGGAGCACGATTTCGGAATAGGGTTTCTTTAGGACTCCATGTGTGCCAGGGCAAAGATCTGAATTGTGATATGTGCAATAAAGTTTTTACTAATCATGCAAATTTACAGCGACACAAGTTCATTCATGGAGAACCAATCTACAAGGTAATCTTATGTTATTTAATGTAATATATTTTGTTATAAATTAAGCATAAATTTTGTTAATGAATTGAAACATGTGTTATACATTTCTATAACAAATTAACCTGAATATAAGCTATAAGATAAGAAACACTATAAGATTTATTAGTCTATTTCTCTGCAGTTTCTCTAGATTAATAATCATAATAATTTGGAAACTGTGGGATTCACATGATTTCAATTCCACTTTGGATCAGTGTTTTCTTCTACATGTTCTAAATCAAATTATTTCTAATTAATAAATTTAATAAATGCTACCTTTGCCTATCTCTATCTTCCAAGTTACAGTAATAATCAATAAAAGTTGTAAAATTAAAACCTCATAATTCTGGAAGTGTTTGTCATATAACATGTGCATTAATTAATAATTTTAGATAGTGACTGTAGATAATCAATTGCAGTTTTAATTTTGATTTTAAATATAAATTTAAAATAGCTTTTAATGAAATAATTAGTCTCGAGCTAAAATTGCAATATTAAAATGTGAAACATTTACAGTTGCAATTGCATTAACTAGGAAGCCGAAAAATCTTACAAATGATAAATATGTGAATTATAAATCATATTTATGTTGGAAAAATTAATATTAGATTCTTTAATCTCGTATTTAATATTCTAAATTCTATCTCGTCTTTGTATATTTATATAATACACAACTTTACATTACATAATCATTCTGTAGAAGTGCAGGCAAATGTATAATTATTATGCATGTGAAAAAATCCTCTCTTTTATCTTTCTTTTTATCAGTTTACTTATTTAAAGTTTTTATCTTTTTCTGGAATTTCTTTTTAATGATAGAATATTTGACTACATTATCTTTCTTTTATCACCTTTCCTCTGAAAAGTTGTCAAATATTTTCCTCTATTCTGTTAAACATTTCTTACAAACATTTAGACATTTTGAAACATCTAAATACATGATTTAGAAATTATTTGATATTACTAACAAGATATTAAACTCTTAGAGAAGAGTTTCTCATGTGCCATTTACATGTAGAAGGCACATGTAGAAGACACATCAAAAGATTTGTTTTATTACTTAGTTAATTATACAAACTTGGGTAGTTAATTTAATTCTACAAAGTAAATTGAATGTAATTAAGTGAAAAATCTTTACTGTAAACATGTTTTAAAAGAAAGATTTTCTATTATTTATATTTGAAGTGTTCCAAATGCGGAAAAGGATTTCATCGGAAGGATTCTCTCTTAAAACATCCATGTGAAAGAGCCAAAAATAATAATTCTGTTCTCGAAAAGAAAAAGAAATCTGGAAATTTGATGCCATTGATCTGTGAAATTTGTGGATCAATGTTTTCTTGTACAAGCAGCTTAAACGTTCACAAGTAAGAAAATTTAATTATGGAAATGTATTTGATGGTAATTATTATCATTATCATATTAACAAATATATTTATATTTCATTTTCTTTAAATTATAGAAAAAAAGAGACAATAACAATAGAAGGTCAATGGATCATAATTAAATATGTCTTATCTACAAGGCATAAATTTAAAAAATTATTTAATAATATAAATCATAATAAATATTTCATTTTATTAATACTTTGTGATAAATATATAACGGTGGTTAATATATTGAATTATTTAAAAAGTAATTTTACAGTAGAGGGTCTAAATAATGATTTATTTGTATGCTTTATTCATTCTTTCTATCCTGTGGATACTATCAAGGCCCTTTTCATGTCTATCAAGGATTTGGTCAGGTAATGAAAAGAGGGATCTACCATTTCTGAATCAAAATATCCATAAAAATTCAGGATTTTACACATATTTATCTTCAGAATATCAGAGTTTTAAAAGCCTTGGTCATCCAGTATGTATTATAAATTATGCCGAAAATAAATTCTGCCAACCACTAAGTGCACACAGAAAGGCTTTATTGCAATTGATAGAATTCATTTCAATGTAATTTATAGTATGTAGTAGATTATTTTATTCAAGTTTTAAATACATAAAGTTCAATTATTCAAGTATGAAATATATATATGTTACTGTGAAAGACCGATATCCAGTGAATGTCAGCATTCACATAGTTGTTTCGTGTATGTCCGAAATATTTGCTAAATGTCATTATTTCTCACTTACACCGACAAATGTCGACATTCAGCATGCACTGATGGTGATGAATGTTGAATAAAAATTTTTTTCTTAGCATTTAGTCATGGAACACTTCTTTTTGCAATTACAGCATGTATAGCCTTGCCTTCCACTTCTTGAATTAGTTGCAGCTGTTTCTCTCAGGGACATTTTTTACCTAACCTAACCTAACATTAATAATATAACCAAATATGCAGTCTTTCACCGATGTATTTTGTATGTGTCGACATTCACCAGAGAATCTCGACATTCTCTAATTTTGGTCTTTCACAGTGACATATATAAACCATAGATTATGGTTAAAGTGCAGTCTCATAAAGGACAAGCCATACTAAAATTGACAATTGCAAACATTCATATTTAAAACAAAATTGAAATATACACTTTGATAAATTAACACAATTTGTACATTTATAAAAATTACTGTGCAAAACGTTTTTTACACTTGAAATTTCTCTACATTATATTCCACATGCAGAAATGAAGTGTAAAATGATTGATTTATGATGCAGCAATTGTAATATGATTGATAACATTTTGGCCATTTAAAATCATTATATGCTATATAGGATAAATCAAGCTAAACTGCTGTAAAAAACCACAGATAATCATCACAGAAACCTTTTAGCAACAAGAAAATTAACTAATATACTGAATTAATGCATCATTTTAAATGACCATCATCAGAAAACTGAAAATCTATTCATTTTATTATTATTAATTATTATTTTTTTTTAAATTTTGAATATTGTTCTTGATTTTATCATTTTATACATTTCTTTGGATTTCCAAGCTGAAGAAGAAATACGTTAAGAAAAACTCAAAATTGTTTAATATCAATGGATTTATGCTTCAAATCATTATAGTTTATAACTGAAATGGATTTTAAATGGCTTAAAAACATACTATTAAGCTATGTTTTTAAGACTAAATGTAGCACATTGTATATGATTAATTGATCTTTTTCTTATTTAGATTACTATAGATAATCCAAATTTCTAAATTTACATTGTGAGAAATGCACATTAAAATATAATTTTATACAGACTGTAGAAAAAAAAAAGATTTATTTAAATATATATTTGCATCATATTACTTGCTTAAAGCACATTTTCACACAAAAATCAGTTATTGTTTCATCTATGTAGCAGAGTCAAAAACAAGGTTTTTTTTATTTGGTTATAGATAAGTTAAAAATTAAAAACATGAAACAGATAACATATTCAATCTGTTTTTTGATTTAGTCACCTTGTATGTTGAGTCTTACATCATAGATATAGATCGAGGAATTAAAACTCTGATAAATAATGCATTCTTTTAACATTCCCTTGTACATTTAAGAGACTATTTCTGAATTATTTTGTGAATAGAAGAATCAAATTCTGAATATGTTTTCTAATGTTAAAGAATAAATGTATGAAGTTAATTTTCTTTGAAACTTTACACATCTTTACTCCTAATATTGATATAAATACAAGAATCTCGAGTGAATTTAAATGAATGCTTTCTGATTGCATTAAAAGAGTGTATCATATATTTATTTATCTATAATTTAATGAAGTAAATAGAAAGTTAAGAAGTTAAAACTTGGCATAAAATAAATTGTTATAATAACAATAAAAATTAAAATATTTTTTGCTTTCTTTTAGAAATCTTCATGGTGAAAAGAAATTTTCATGTGATTATTGTGGAAAGAAGTTTCATAGGAAAGATATATTGCTCGAGCATCATGCCGTACATGGAGCACCTAGTTTTCCTTGTCCGACATGTCATAAACTGTTCAAAACAAGAAAATCTTTAGACACTCACGTTATGATACACGATGGTGTTAAACGTTACAAATGTGCAAAATGTGGGAAGGTAAGTTTATATTTTTCTAATAATTTACTACTAAATTCAACAACAACATTATTATTAAGACAGATAAATGTTTTGATTTAAGAAAGTAGTGTTGAAGAAAAAACGGGCTTTAAAGTGAATATTATGTTACAAAATATAACATTCTTCACCCTGATTAATGTTGAACTTTCAAATAATGCTGTAAACTATGAATTTTCAACATACAAAATAGCAAAATTACGAGGGGTGTTTTTTAAGTAAGTACTGTTTTGATATTAAAAAAACACAACTGCAATTTTTAAAATAATTTTTTTCTTACATGAAAGCCTGTATCTTAATCTACTTTTCAACTTAATTTCCTCCAATATGACGGTACATTTCATATCGTATAACCAGCTTCTGAATTCCATCCTCATAGAAACCTGCCACCTGATTTGTCAACCACTGCAGCATGGCATTTGACATCGTCGTAGCACTGACTGCTTAGATGCCTTTTCAAGTGGAAGTACAAATAGTAGTCACTAGTCGCTAGATCAGGGCTATACTTAGGGTGATCAAGTTGTTCCCAGCCATAAGATGTGATAAAATCTTGGTTTCGTTGAGCCATGTGTGGACAGGCATTGTCATGAAGCAAAACAATCCCCTTACTGAGCTTGCCACACTTTTTGTTTTGGATGATGAAATCGTAAAGTGTCTGTTTTCTCAAACTTTTGCAACAACTTTCTGCACCGAGTCTTCAGTAATGACAGATGGTCACCCACTACATTCTTCATCATGGACATGAGTACGGCTATCTTTAAATGCTCTAATCCATTATCTTACCATTCGCTCATAATGTTTTTTCCATACATCTCGCTAATCTGCTGATGAATGTCAGCTGTTTTTATGTCTTTTGCATTAAAAAAAAACGAATCACCACAAGTACTTCATAATCAGTGGGATTTTCAATTGTTTGAGTGATTTTAAACATGCACAAACAAATGTAAAATGAATGAATGCTTCCGTAATTGTGTCTGTGCTAGCCAACAGATATAGGTACTCAGTGTACACTCGCAAAACACCAACCTTAGCACTGCAGCGGTCCTATTTTAAAACAGTACTTACTTAAAAAACACGCCACGTACATATTAAAAAGCCCTAATTAGCGTGAATCCATACCTTGATGCAACAATAATTATAAAAGTTATCAATTTAAACATCTGTAGCTCTTATAACAATGTGCAGATCTTACATTGATCCTCGATTAGGTTCACATTATTGTTCAGAAGATTCCATAAAGAGAAAAGTCAGTAGATGTAAATACAAGTCTATTTTTTTTTATGTGCATCTGCTTAAGATGTGGAAGGTTGCATGATGTGCAGCTATCACATCCTCACTATATGTCATGATCAGCTTTCATTTTTAATCATGTCAGAATGACTCAGAGAATATATTCATTCTTCTATCCAAGCATTTGTATCACCCAGTGTTATAAGATTACTATTTAGAAAAATAATTTTGTCCATTTCTGATTAAATTATCAAATCACAATAGTTAAGTAGTAATTAACTACAAAAATGAATTGGCTTAAGCTTAATTAAAATTAAATTATCTGAAGTATATAGTATAGAGGACTTAGCTCAATTTTTTTTCACTAACAAGGTCTTCCTGGACGAGCTTATTAACCATATGTTCATATTTTACAAAATCTTTGGACACACACTTTTTATTTTTAGGCTAATTTGCAAATTCACAATCCAGATCTATTGAAACAACAATATTTTAAAGCTTTGAAGTGACAAATTCTCTTTATCATTTAACTCAATATCTAAATTTATCTTACAGTTTGGCAATACATCAATTATTTCCCTTTCACCCTCTGAATATACTTTATTTTCTAAGAAACACTCTAATTTTAACAAGCTTATTTTCAAGCTTAAAGTGTAACTTTCATCTTTAGTCTTCAAGGCATCACACCATATTGTCATTTTTTTTTTTTTTTTCAGTCAGAAGTAAGTTTAAAATAATACAAATAACTTTAACCTACATAGTCTTGAACTTTTACATAAATTATCTATTTGATGATTATATAAAAGTTCAAGACTATATAGCTGATTCTATTATATTTTTTACTATTACATTTGTTTTTAGTCAGAAATTGAGGGGGGAACCTCAATTTCTGACTAAAAACAAATGTAATAGTAAAAAATATAATAGAATAACCTTATTTTTATCATATACTGAATTAAATTCATCAAAATTACTATAATCCAGTTTTCTCTAGCTCATGACAGTCAACTATTAACTGTTGCAATTCCTTATAATTTTTATTTACAGTTTAAAAATTGAAATAAATCTTTATGGATTTCATCTCATTTCTGTCCGGCTAAAATTAAATTATTCTTTCTTAGTTTGTTTTCTGCCCAGTGTCTTACATACGATACCGGCTGTAATTTTTGTTTCGACTTCACATTTTTTTTTTATTTGTCTGAATACATTTCTCAATTTCTATAATTCTTTTCTCATGATCTTGAAATCCTTTACCAAGCGCATCTTTCTTTCTAATAATAACAAATGAGAAAAATATTCTTTCAAATTTTTCTTCAAAATATATTTTATCATTTAATATAGAGGACATCTCAATTGCTTTTTTTATGAAGCGATATGAAAATAATCTTCTACTTGAGACAATTTGGTTCACTAGATCATTGTCTCACAAACACGTTCACTAAGCTACTGTTGTGATGTATTAAATGAGAAAATGGACCCACATTCAATTCTATTCTAGGTATTAAAGTACGTAGGCTGTTTTTTTTTCAAGCTCCAATGGTCCATAAAAAAAGACAAGTGTAAATAACAAAATGAATTTATTACCAAAAGTTAGATTAGAACTTTTCCATCGCCTTGTCATAGAATGTTGTCATCAATGACTTGAGATGGGCCCTAACGTTTTTTTGAAGATCGTCATTAGTCTCGAACCTCTGTCCTCCTAGTCACTTTTCCTGTTTAAGAAAGAGGTGGAAGTTGCTTGGCACTAAATCAAGGCTATACACTGGGTGTTTAAAGGTGGTGAAGACTTCCATCTCTTTCCTGAAATGAAAATGTGGCTAGCAGGGTAGAGATTCGAGACTAATGACAATCTTCAAAACATTGTTGTTAAGGCCATCTCAATCCACTGGCAGTAACATTCTATAACAAGGAGATGGAAAAGCTCATCCACAGATATGACAAATTCCTCAATCTTCACGGTGATTATGTCAAAAAGTAACCATGTCTGTACCTAACTTTTGGTAATAAATTCATTTAGTTATTTACACTCATCTTTATTTTATGGACCATCAGAGCTTGAAAAAACTGCCCTCGTAAATAGTAAATATTACAGCTCTAATCAGATAATCAGAAAGTTGTTATACCCATACCTAAAAAATAAATCTCTAATAATGGATAACAGCTCTAATGAAAAAATTAAACAGTACTTTGGATGACTATAACACCCCACAAATTTAACAAAATATACTATTTTTTAAAGTAATTAAATTATTGCATGTCTAACATATAACAAAAGTCTATTGAATCCTTTTCATTTCGAAAGTACCAAAGATATATTAATTTTGTTAACATAGGAAATCATGTATGGAGAATTGAATGGAAGCTTTTTTTTTATTGAGTTTTAAGATAATTTATATTGTAGCTTTTTAATGAGCAGAGGTAACATAAAAATTCTAATGAAAAAGTTAGAGCAATATCTAAAACCATTTTCTGGATTCAAATAAGTACATTTATGACTGCATAATTTGTAACTTTAAATTTAAGAGGAGTAAAAACAATTTCATTTTACATCACCTTGAAAAGTCATGTAAAACAAAATCACTTTTACTTACTTTTAGTCATTTTCATATTGGGAGGATCTGCATTTTGGATATTTTTCTCCCTCTGCAGTCCAGTCCTTTAAAGTTCCATTTAACATTAGAACTTTAAAAAATTGGACCGAAGAGAAGGAAAGAAATGCATATCCTTCTATATGAAAGAATGAATAATTATTGAGTGTGTTGTTTCCAAAAAAACTATTACATAAGTTTTAGTAAACATACAAGAAAAAAGTGAACAAAATGAAGTATTTATACTTAATAAAAGTAATGATTGCACTTGCATCATATGATACATATGATGCAAGTGCAATCATTAATGTATCATATGAATTGAATGCCCTCATGCATCTGTTGTAGCAAAGATATTTGGATGCATTTAGATATTTGTCAAATCCTTTACAAGTGACAATTAAATGCTTTGTTCAAGATATCAGAAATAAGTTCTGAATTACTTTTTTATGATGTATATTTCTATAGCACAAAATGTAATACATAATAATTATATATAAATTGCTTGTTTTATTATTTCAGGAATTTTTTCAGAAAGGTAACTTACAGAAGCATGAGGAGACACATAATAAAGAACGCAAACACATATGTACTGTCTGTCAGAAATCTTTCAGTACTAGAGAATATTTGTATATTCACATGCTTGAGCATACGAGAGGTAGAATTTACGGTTGTGGAGTTTGCGGTCGTTCTTTTGTGAAAGTAATTATAATTTTTATTTACCTTAGATTAAATTTAACATGTTAGTTTCTAGACATAGAAGAGTACCACATTGATTCTTTTTACTATAAAAGGTGTATCTGAAAATATTTTAGTGAAGTAAAATAAATTAGAAATGTCTTAATGATATGATTATATATATATATATGAATCAGTGTATATATATATATATATATATACACTGAGTCATTTGCAAGTGTTTCATCAAATATTATTTTATGAACAGTCTCATGTAATCTTGTATCATGTAGATCTCATTAATACCATTACATTTCACTCTTTTGCAATGACAACATAGCTCTGAATATTCTTATGAGTCTAAAAAAAAATTAATTAAAACAAAAATTTAGTATTTGTATTTTGTAAAGAAATATACATATAATCATATCACTGTCATTTTTTTAAAAATTTTCTTTATTTTACCAAAATAAACAGTGAGTTCTGAGAGGACTACCTATTTTACAATTCCAAATATATATTATCTGATTTCATGTAACAAAAATACATTTGTTTTAGTATAAAATGATGCAACATAACTTTTAAGTTAGAAGACTGTTGTGAGATCAGGACTGTGGGACCCCACTCACAAAGATGATTAAGATTGTTAAGAAGACTTTGAGATTGTAAAATCTATGTTAGGAGCCTGACACCAGTTTTTTATTTTTAAACTCTTTCTGTCCTGTGGACACTAAGAGGGGCTCTTTTTTAGCAAGCTCATTATGGGTTCAGCCAGGCCGACAATGGGGTGGCTGGGTGGTGAGGGACAGGGCCCGACATATCCACCCCTGACCACCTCTGAAAAACTTCTGGGGATTTCTCAATCTGTCTAGATTCGATCCCGGGTCTTCTAGAGCAGTAGACTGCCACCTTGAGTACTCGACCATCTATCCTGACACCAGTTAGGATTATTATATGCATCCTAACTCGCATTTAAAGTGAATTATTTCTGATTAGTCTGATTTTTATCTCAGTGGTAGGATGGGGTTTCAATGTGACAATGGAGCTGGAGCTAGACACTTAGACATAGTTTGATAATAATAAACTATTTATTTAAACTAATTCATGTATTATACCATATATAAACAATAGTAAGAATAAAAATAAACAAAGTTTTCATTCGACAATCTAATATTCAATTCCTTTAAATCTATCTTGAGAGAGAGCTTACGTGTTACAGTCAAATGCAATACCTCATTTCTTTTCTTTTCTTTTGAGCTGTAGACAGGGCTGGCCATGTTTTCCCGCATTTGGTGGAAAACTAACTCCTTTTCATTCTGACACAACTTCCTAGAGAGTTATGTTTCCATTCCAGCTCTCTGGACATTGGTGCGAACCCTATTTATATAATATTCATCTGACCATCTCATCTTTCAGTGGACAAAGTATAGAATTAGAACCAGTGTACATGCAGGTATACTTTGCTGTTGCATAATGAAGGAATGGATGATATGTATAACATATATTCCATCTTTCACCCTTACTACAATTTGGAACCTTGTGAGATATTTATTTTATACATATTTGAATTCAAATCATATTTTCAATCTGTTTTGTATTAAAAAAATATGAATCATGTACATTTGAATTCATTATGAATTGTGAGTAGAGGGTATATGTATATGTTTATTATTTCAGCTTGAAAGTATCTAGAATTATTCTAAATCTAGTTACTGAACTCACCTTTATTATTTAATTATTTAATGCACTTCATTATATATTATTTTATGATTAATTTCATTAATGTCATATATGTGTACAGATGCTATATGAAGCATTTGTGTATATATCTGATGCAAAGATATCAAGGTGCTGCTCAATCTGTGTTCAGGCCAGCATTGAATCTTCTAAACTTGACTCTGATGTGTTGAGATTTGTCCTTCATTACATGGTTACCTTTACTACGAGCCTGACAAACCCATGATGGGCATGAAAAAATTCTTTTGTGACTGCAGGACAGAGAAAATTTTAAAAAGGAATTAATATCAATTCTTCCATTCCTTTGAATATTTTTTAAGTGTGATTAATTACTTATTTTGAAAAACGAGTACAGTATTTCTTAATATCTAAAGAATTAAGAAGCCTTTAATTCTAGTTAAAAATTAAACTATTATCTGGTTTATTTTGTCTGTTTTCTTGTTTAATTATCTTTATTATTTCTAGGAACATCAGCTTCGTAGTCACCACAGGATGTTTCACAGTAATCAGTCTTATTCTTGTAAATATTGTGGCCTTTCTCTGAAATTGAGACATTCATTAAAGAGACATCTCAGGAAGAAACATAGTGAATTTGAAAACGAATGGAAAAAAGCAGATTTTGTAAATGCGATGTTAATTACAAAAAATACTGCAAAGCAAACGGATCCTTCTTCGGAATCGTACATAATTCCCGACATAACTTCGACCCAAGGTAAGCAATGTTTGAAAACTTTTACTGATACGACGAATGGAGAACCACGGTTCCCTCTAAACTGTGCGACTATGCAATTGTACAGTAAGTTTTAAGAATTAAAAATAAATAAATATCAGTTTTCTCTTTATCATTGTTTCCTGTAAGCTGCACAGCTACTCTCTGCCTATATACCTAAGTTTAAACAACAATTGGCTTACAGAATGTTGGACATATTGAGACAATGTTATATGTGTCAGGTAATAGACTACCCAGTATATACATCACACCGGGGAAGTAAGATTCCTTACATATTTCACCTGTATTGCAGAAAATTTACTTGCAATTTTATTATTATTAAAAATGAAGCCAAAACTTCATTTTCACTTCTCTTATTTTTTTTATAAAGTCTAAAATGTATGATCACAATAGAAATTTACATTTTACAACAGAATAAATTTTGCCATAAATTTTCAGCAGCCTTTTCCCCAACTTTTGATGATCGTTGAATTAATAGAGAATCTTAGGAATAAAATTTCTTACCAAAACTGACTGTTTTTATTATATTCAACAGAATCAATCAGCTTAGTTTAGTCGAATGTTTATGAACTAATCAATTACTTACAGATACCAGACACTTAATTCCCACGCAGTTTGCAAGCTGCAGCATGACGTGTCACAATTTGGTGTCATTTAGCATTGATTAACAATTGATGCATTGAATTTTAGCCTCAGTTCAATTCTGTATTGTATTGTAAAACAGTTATCAAAATCAAACAAAACTTTAATCAGACTCAAGTATAGGTTGAGAGTGAATTATTATTATTATTTCTTTATTTTCTTTTATTTAAAATTCATAAATTTCTTTAACTACTAATATAAATGTTCCAATGTATTTTTAGGTGCAGAAGTTTTATTAGCAGTTGCTGGTCTCGGAAATCAGGAATTACAAGATGCGCTTGTATCAGGTCAAGCTCAAATTAAGCAAGGAACCTCACCTGACACTTTTGAAATATCAGTGCCTTTTAATAACGAACAAGATGATAACATCACTAACGACGGCCAAATTATTTTAACTACAGAAAGCGGTACCGATATAACGTTACCGAATAATTTTATACAGAAACAACTTCAGTGTCCCGTCGAAGTTATGTGTTCGGACGATGGTAAACAATACATTACGCTTCCAGTCGAATCTAATGGTGCAGTGCGGTCAGAAGGAGAACCATATCAAATAACGTTACCTCTGCAGTCGGAAGTCGACGGTGCAGAAAAGTTGCATGGTATTACAATACCACTCGACCAGTTTGCAAATATGGGAGAAGAATACGAAATTACTCTACAAAGAGAAGAGACGGGAGACAAAACACACGGTTCAAATAATGGAGAAAAGGAGAATTATCAAATATTGTCAGACGTAGCCGGTGTCGAAGAACACTATGAAGTAATGCGCTCAGAAGAGTATGGCAACATAGATGAACAGTATGAGGTAACCACTCTGTCCAACCAACAGATGGCTGGTTCTAATGATAATGAATATGAAGTGACTGTAGACAACACATCACAGGAACTAGCCAGTACAAATCAATATCAAATAACTCTTCCAAATCAAGAAATGAGTGAAAATGAACAGTTTCAGATTACTTTATCTAATGAACAGAATGATACGAACTTGGTCGCACAAACCGAAGATGGTCAACAGATAGTTATATCTGGAAAGGATTTACCAGTAGGAACACATCACATTGTACTTAACACAAGTAAATTATCAGATATAACTGATACAGACAATCTTGATCAAGGTAAGTTCTTGATGTTTATAAAACCTAGTAAATTATTATTATGAGAAGTCAATATGCAGGACAATCATAATTAAGGAGTAAGCGTTCTAGGACCTAATTTTTAATTATGATCACCCCGTAGTAATATGCATTAATTATTTTAATTTTCCAAATTTATTTGACAAGATGTATAGAGATAAATATTTTGACAGATGACAGTAGGACTATAAATATTTCAGTGTTCAAAGACTAAATCTTTTTTTAATTGGAAGGGTTGCACCTCATTTTAGAGGTAACTCGTGTGTCCAAAAAGTTCAAATAATGTCTTCATCATAATGTATAACTTTTAGTAGATGTTTTTTTTTTCATATAAAGTATTTATGTTTCAATATTTTGCTCGTCTCTCGCACGAAACAAAAGCGGTGGTGGCAGACCTGCAGTTTTTATACCCGATACACTGAAGCTCGAACTATAAGGGTACCCCTTCACCGTGCAATAATAGGACATCCAAAATAGTTTCTTGGGCCCCTAATCCCAGAAAGACCCAAGTAACTTTTATTTGTTAAATTCCCTTTTCTGTTAGTTTCATAGTAGATCAGCCGTCAAAAAGACGCGCATATTATCTTATGTTAAAATAGTACATGGGATGATCTAACAGATTAATATTAAATGCATGTTGGGTGCTGTTTTTTTTTTCTTAAATTAACTGTTGTTGTCAAAAATGTTTTCTTTTTGCATGTTCTTTTATTCTAGCAAACAATAATCTTTTAAACATAATTTAAACACTAAAATGTGTGTACACTTTTTATGTCTTTTTTATTTCAATGTTTACAAGATCCTGACATTGGAAAGACTTAATAAAATAAAATAATATAAAATTGCTTTTCCTTTTGAAAAGCAATTTTATATTATTATTTTATGCAAGGAAGATCCTTTAAGGAAAGGTTGATTTTGTTAGCATCTGTACTAGAAATTCTCCCGTCAAGCATGATGGAATATTTTTTACGAGAAAGTAGAAATCAAAGAATTGAAGCTTCAAGTCGAGCTTGATGTTGTGATGCTGTTTCTGCAGCCCTCAAGACACCATTCTTACTCAATGTTGCTCAAGTCGGACTTCACGATCTTCGGGGTCTCGGTCATTCTTATTCTTTGAGATCTAGAATTTTTACCTGACCAATTTTACTCTTAGGCTTTCCCGACAAAATAGTGAGTCTTTTTAATTCCATGTTGATAAAACAAAGATGAATTGTATGTATGTTAATTATATGAATGATAACACTTTCTAAATAATGGGCTCGTTAGATTGTTACTTCCGATTGGATAATAGAACAGCACTTGGCCACTGATGTCACTGCAATGTAAGCACGATCACCAATCTGAAATTGATAAGATGTTTATTCTGTAGCTAATATTTCTGCAGAATAAGTAGCTTATACTTTCCATTGGAACATAAAATGAATATAACCAAAATTTCATCTGGATTGGACAAAAATTTCAGGAGTTAAGTTGAAATTGACGTGCACACAGATGACAGCTTTTATATTAGTAATTGCTGTGGTACAAGAAACAGACTTCAAATTACATTAAGATTATGTATATTTTCATTGAGTTAATAATAGTTGTTATTTGTGTCTTGTCTTATATCTTTTAAAATGAATTTTTCAATCCTCAAAAGCATTGTATCTATAACAGGACCTGGTTATGTAGACCAGTATTTTTCAACCTTTTTTTTTTATATACCGTCTGCTGAGCATGCAGGGCTGCGGAGTCGGTAAAAAACACTCGACTCCAACTCCAGCAAAATTAAATACCAAGTCATTTTATGGGAGGCAGAGGCACTCGTAAGGGTAGCCTATTCTGAACTCTAAAAGGAGCTCCAGGCATTTACCCAAATAATTTTATACGTAGGCTGTTTTTCAAGCTCTGATAGTCCATAAAAAAAGACAAGTGTAAACAGCAAAATGAATTTATTACCAAAAGTTAGGTACAGACATGGTTACTTTTCGACATAATTACCGTGAAGATTGAGAAATTTGTTATTATCTGTGGATGAGCTTTTCCATTTCCTTGTCATAGAATGTTGCCGCCAGTGAATTGAGACAACATTGTCTGAAGATCATCATTAGTCTCAACCTCTGCCCTCCTAGCCACTTTTCCTGTTCAGGAAAGAGGTAGAAGTCGCTCGGTGCTAATTTGGGGCTATACACTGGGTATTTAAAGGTGTTGAAGACTTCCACTTTTTTTCTGAACTGAAAACGTGGCTAGCAGAGCAGTGGTTTGAGACTAATGAATTAATGGCGATCTTCAAAACAACGTTGTTAAGGCCATCTCAATTCACTGACAGCAACATTCTATGACAAGGAGATGAAAAAGCTTGTCCACAGATATGACAAATGCCTCAATCTTCGTGGTGATTATGTTGAAAAATAACAATGTTTGTACCCAACTTTTGGTAATATATTCATTTTGTTATTTACACTTGTTTTTGTTTTATGGACCATCGGAGCTTGAAAAAACTGCCCTCGTAGTTAGTATTTTTAATATTTATTTGTATAAAAAAATTAATTTTTAACAAATATTTAATAAGAGGAGAAAGCGAGTAATAAAATTCTACATCTACATATATTCGACAGCATTTGCACTTCAATTTTACCCATCCAGAATAGTTAGTTCAATTAAAAAGTGTGCGATCTATTTACTTCAGCCCCTTGTTCAGAAAAGAAAAATATGAATTCTGATCAATTAGTCTGGCTCATTCAGAAAAATAGAGTACTTATTTAGAGCAGGGATAATAAATGATCCAAAATATTTAAATTCAATTGGATCAAAATAATTTTACTACTAAACACAAATACTACAAAGAACACTACATATTTTGTATTTAAAATAAATGAATTATTACAAAATATAAAAAGATTTTTAAAAATTAATAAATGTATAATCAATTTTCTTTCATTTAAATAAAAAAACTAAAGTAAATTTAAAATGCGGGAGTTGGAGTCGACACATTTTTTCCAACTCCGACTCCACAGCCCTGTGAGCATGGCCAATATTTTTCAAAATTTTAGTTTTTAATTACATTTGTATTAAAGATTATTATATGAAATTTTTTATTTTATTACAGATACGATAGTTCTAGAGGAAGGAGCGACCATTCTTCAGCGGCAGGAAGGAGATGTACTGTTGTACGTCTTAACCAACGAGCAGCAACCTTGAAATTTATAACTGCCTTTTGTATATATTTATACACACACACACGTATATATATATTGTACAGATAAAATAAATTTTCAATATTTTTTCCTTTGTAGAAATAGATGTAAAATTATTATTATTATTTTTTTAAATTACAATTTTTCACCCATTCATGTTTTATATGCCAGAAGAACATTTCGAAACTGCATTCTTGAACCCGGGTAATTTCACCATACATAATTGCCATATTTTCATTTACAATTTTAAACTTTCCATTCTAATGTTCTTTACAAATTTTGCATGTTTGACTAATGATTAGAAAAGTACTAAGCAAAGATTTAATACTTGGAACTCTGCGCTTATTTTTTTTCAGTGTATATATTCTGTACATTGTGAGTGTTTATATAATTCGTACAGCTATATCTATGATACGTGATTTTGTTCTGTTCGTGTCAGTCGATGTAATGTCTGGTCTGTCTCAATTGGTTGATTTATCTGTGATTATGGCACATTCAAAATATATTTTGAAGTGTGGTTCTTGGGTGTGAAGTAGTTTATTTGTGCATGAGCTTTTGATGTAATGTAAGTTATTTGTTATTTTGATTAAGTAATCAGTCTGTGCTAAACCTGACATCTTGTGCACAATATAGTGTTACCTACAAGTGTTGCATCTTTTAAAACATGCTTTCTGTAGATTTTTGTATTCTGTCTGTATTTATGACGATCTTGTAATTGTGGACACTTCCATCTTTCCAAAAAAAAAAAAAAATCTGTGAGTCGGCCAGTGGTTTGACATGGTTCTGTTGACATGAGTGTGGCCAAGACCATTAGGATGTGCAGCTCCTTCTGAGCCCAAGACTGCCTATTTTGTGTACAGTGTTAGATCTAGATCAGTGCCATACTGTTTTTGTCTGTAAGAGTTATTGTGTTGTGTAATTGTGATATTTCTTGTTTTCTGTAGAAAAACTTTCACTGTATTTTAGTGAAGATTTCCTATAACCGTGAGACCTTGTTGTCATCTTAACGAAGAAGAGTTGATATTCCTTTGAAGCACCATTTTGTCTGTTTTTTTCTTTTCCTTTGGTGGTGGTGTCCTAGTTCTGCGTGCAGTCAATGTATAACTCCAAATGAATACGAATACTTAGACAACGTATGCGTCGATTGCTTTAAATGTGTGTGTTTTGCATTTAGCTGTGTTATTATATTGAGTATAATCTGGTGTCATATTCTTTTGTTTTATTTGTGTGTGTTCTGTGAGTTTAGCCTTTTGGAATCCTAAATATTTGTAGACTGCCCTCGTCTACAGGTTCGACAATGTCTCCATTTCTGAGTACAAAACGATCTTTCTTTAGGATTCCATTTTTTCTACAGACTTCATTTGAATGTCAGTGGAATAAGTGTGTGTAACATCTAGTATGTCATTTAGTTGCACTTGTGTGGATATGTAGCATTTTATTTTTGGAATTAATTGGGGTTATTTGATGTAAATCATATATATTTTGACTCCGAGACAAAATCTTAAGGCACTTTTGGTATAGCAGGCTAAAATTACAACTTTCAATTCTTAAATTCTGTTATAATTTGCACATCTGTGAGTTTAGGATTCTTGTAAAGATTGATAAATATAACATATAAAAAAACAAAGAACCTATTCTTTTTGAAATTCACAATTTATTGAAAGAAATCGTTCAAGTTGTATGTAACAAATCAAAATATTATACAGATTTTTATATATAATTCAAGTATTTCCAAAAATTTGTACGGTAATTAAACATATAGTTTATCCGATTAAGTACGTCGGAAAAAACAAGCTGAATTATTACTTTGATGTAAAACACCCGCAGCTTAATTTTCGTACTCTTGAAAAATACAATATTTTTAATACAAAATGTTGTGAACCAGTTCATTTTGTATCCAAGATTCAAATACGGTTTGAAACAATCTTTCGACGTGAATCAGATCGTCATAATCAAACTATAAAAGTCGTCGTCATTCGTCTAAACTCAATATCTTACAAACTTTATAAATCTTATTCCTAATTGCTGTTCTACATTTATATATGGTTACGAGGCAAAAAGGGAATTCTAAAGTTTCCGTAAGCATCTAAGGAACTTTAAAAATATGATAATGTATAAGGATATTGATTCTGTAGTCAAACAGATTATAAAATACCACTTATATACTAATCTTAATATCACAGAAAAATGCACGATAGAAGAAATGATCTCTTTGTGCATCATTAAATAAATAAATTTTTGCTTACAAACTATAACATCACAACCAATATTACACTTTTCGTTCACTTTAAGCATACAGTTTTATCATTATTTGGTATTGTAAACTAACATATTTACTTTATACAATAAAATAACTCTAAGCTGGTATATTATGCAGTTAAAAATCTATCATCTTAGAATTGGTATTTTGAAATTTGATATTTTATCTGAAAGATTTACTGTTCTTAACATTTGTTGATTAATTTATCCATATAAGTTTTTAGTAGCATAGAAATGCAGGTTCTATAATATCCTCAGAGGAAGGATGGAAAGATCAAAATCTACAGCTTGAACTAGATCTTCATTTTCCTTTCATTCATCTTTATACAAAAGATAGAAATCTTCTCCATTGTCATCTTTACAAAATGAAGATGGAGAGTTGTTATTGTTTCTGTTGCCTTTTTTTTTTCCATTTTTTTTAAGATTGCTCATTACAACTTGCACTTCTATGCTACCTGTTTTAATACGTTAATGTTCCGTGAGCCCTATCGGTATCACTTAATAAACTATTTGGTCTGAATTCTGTTTGTCTGCAATATCAGTCTTTGATAACAAAATCACACAAATAATTTGTATAATTACGATTTGTTAGCAACTCTGCCGTAAATTTTAAAGTAATGTAACGACGACACATTACTATGTCGTCTAAAATTACCGAGACAAACAATTTTTAGATAAAACTTTAAAATATCGCAGAGGGATACAATATAAAAATTCATCGTTAACTTACATGTTATCCACGGTTCGGTTATAAATCAATCTTCCGTATTTCTTGACGCAGCACGGCCGTGAAAAACAGCAAAATAAATATTAAAATACGATTCGGATGAAAATGTCGGATAGTAAATATCTAAAAACTATTAAAAATAATAATAATAATAATAATTGTAATATATTTTGAATAAATTTAACAATTTTGTCCCTTAGTAAATTAGAAATGCAGATAATATTAAAAAAATAAAACTAAATTAGTTAAAAAATAATCTGTTCTGATGAGGATTAATATCCATGATAGTGTTTCCATTCATGAGAGATCTGGATGGCGAGTGCAAAGAGAACATGCTAGGAGATGGAGTTTGACCCATGTGCTCACGAAGCGTCTCTAGATCGGCACTATATCTGTAAAAAAATAAATATATATATATATATATATATATATATAATAAAATAGCATGAATAATGGATAATGCTTCATATTTGATGCACCATACATTCATCTCTCGTGTAACTTCGATATTAGATATCTTTTTATTATATAACTAATGCTAAATCTAATTTGAATCCAATTGGATTTTAAGATTTAAAGTCCAGTGACAAAGGATGGGATTTTATATATTGGGGGTAACACCCGAAAATTCCCGAGCTAACCGGGACTTTTTAATTATCTATAGAAATGTTTTCATTACTCCATTACAGAAACTTTTTCTCACTTTTGAGGAATTTTGTATGTTAAGGAACCGAGATATTCAATATTCTTTCAAGATTTGAATTAAATTTGTTTTTCTTCATATTAAAAAAAAATGAAAAATCTAAATTGGAAATTACAAAAGATTTCAACAATGATTGGATTCATTTGATTATAGTAGTTATCTGAAGTTAACACATTCGAGAGTAATCCAATTACATATCGATCGGACGATCTTACCAGATACTATTTTAACAGACGAGCATCGTACCAAATTCTACGATAAACTGTGCATTTTGCTAATTTAAAATATTAAATTTTCTACAGTGAGAGATTTGGCCAGACAGCATGCAGTGCTTACTAGAGCTAAGGACCCGTCGTGTCATGATTCTCTACAGTCGTGAACGTATCGTTTTGGCATTCTTCCCGATTGCACAACTACAACTACTGTCACTACATTTTTCAAACTTGCCTGCTATTCTCTTTAGCTTTGTTTTTACTGAAAGGTAGAATGGGTAATGCAGTACTTCTTCCGTTTTGACACTAAGTAAAAGCATAAAAGATCTTTATATAATAACCTTTCTGTTATCGTGAATATAAATACCGGAATGGATTTTAATTTCAGAGATAATTTTCTTAGAAGTTATAATTAAATTAAAATTATATTCTTACAAAACTTTGAGCATTTATACTATTCAAATCAATAAAATTTCAAGATGGTATCTTACAGATATACAAAACACTGTAACTTCAAATACTGTCTTCCAGTATTAATGTGAAATTAAACAAATTTATGCTTAATTTTTTTTACAAATTTCATTAAAAAGTCTCACTTTAATTTCTGGAAGATAGTACTTAGTTAATTAAACTTTTCTTTTGATTAAATAAGATTAAGCTTACATGTAAAAATAATTACAGTATTATCATTTACTACATGAATTGTTTTATCATCCGTAACTTAATTAACTTAAACTTTTACTTCTTTATATGATTTTCTTTTATCAACAGAGCCAGGCATTACTAAGCAGTTTTGAGTTAATAAACATTTGTTGTTCACTTAACTGTTTTTCATCCCTTTTTCAATAAAACCTGGACGAACATATATATGATATCTATAATTAAACTATCCCTCTGCTGTTTCTGCTCTAGATTGGGTGATGAGATAAGGCAACGTAATGGCAATTTGCCAAAGGTGTGCCTTCTGAGAGAATTTTCTATGGAAAAGTGGATCCTATTCAGATGTTAAACACAAAGAAAACTCTATACCAGGGGTGTCCAACCTGCGGCCCAATAAACGTGTAAACAAAATAGACAAATTTTTAAATTTTATTTTTATTTATTCATTTCAACGGAATAAACTCAAAAAAGAAGTTTCACAAACCCGTAAATCTTTATACATATTTTATTTTTGAGTGGAAAGGAAATATTTACAGTGGGTGATCGGTTAACGAACATAATCCATTCCAAGACTTTGTTCGTTGTCCGAATTGTTCATTAACTGATTATTGATTTACCATAGGTTTTTATGGGAATTTGATTAATTTGTTCGAGACTCCAAAAAATAAAAAAATATAAATAAATGTAGCAAAAAAGCATATATGTAATAGTAAAAATACATATATATGCAGTCTTGCATTTTTATTAATAATGTTTTTTTCCGTTTGCAAGGGTTAAAGAATCTGTCCAACGTTGATTGCTTTTCTCTTTTCTTCAGGATTTTTTGGAAGTAATTAATAGTATTGTAATATAGAGATCCCCAACCCCATTAACCTTATTCTGGTTTGGATGCCACTTGGATGATCTGATACCCTCCCACTTCTTCAAAAGATCTTTAGTAGCAGATGTCGACATTGGTCCTCTTTCATCTTCCTCTTTTTCAAAAGAAAACACATCTCGCTGAGTTTCTTGGTATTTTTCATTTGAGAGTTCTTGGAGTTCTTCTGTCATCAGATCAGTTTCCATTATGAGCTCTAAAATGCTCTTTATTTCTCAGATGTCTAAGATAACTAAAAAACACACTCAAAGGAAGAAGACTTGCCAGCATTCCAGAGATAGAAAAAAAATGACTGAGCTTATGAGCATTCCGTAAAAAGCGTTCCTGGACTGTTTCAAAAAGTGGAAACACCATTGGGATAAGTGTGTACATTGGGGAGGAGACTACTTTGAAGGGGACCCTGGCAAATAAATTGTAAGTGAAATATTTTTTTTGTAATAAATAAAGTTTGGGAACTTTTTGAACAACCCTTGTATATTTAAGGATTGGGCTACAATATACTTGTGGCCCAAAATTCCATGACTTCTTCTAATGTGGCCCAGAGAAACAAAAATGTTGGACACCCTTGCTCTATACGGTCAGGCACAAATCTGAAACCAACTACTGGCGGTCGAGCGGATTTACCTGCTCGGCCGCAGTTGGACAAACTGCCCGAGGCTAATTCACATAGCATTTTTTTAATGAAAATAAATGCCGATACATATACTACATTATTACACCAATAGGATTCATCAGATAAAAATTTCAAATTATCTTTATTTGTTAAAATATACACTGCTGGCCATTAAAATTGCAACACCAGGAAGGAATGATTGTACGAACGTCAAAATCATATGAAAGGAAGAAGAGGTTGGGATATTCAAATGATTAGTATTTCAGCACATTTAGACGATGCAGGAGGGACAAACGACATCTGAAGCACTGCATAAAAGAAAAGTTGTGAGGTGGATTTCTCATTCAGAAATTGCTTTGTAAGGTTGGGGTTTCTTCAGAATATCATGTTATGCCTCGAATAAGAACAAGAAATGCTTACCAGCAAGTGTCGGAATTCAGTAGAGGCAGGTTCGTTGTCTATCGAGTGTGTGGATTATTGTTCCGTGATATTGCCACTCGCACTCGTCAGAATCCAACTACTGTCATGCGAATATGGAATCGATGGGTTGCTGAGGGTCTTACTGAACGACATGCAGGATCTCAACGCCCTCCCATGACTAACGCCCGAGAGGACAGACATATTATGAGGTTGGCCATGCAAAACCGTACAATTACATCACAGACCATTAGTCAGGAAATGAGCTTGTTTGCAGCATGTCCAGTATCTACTCATTTGGTGCAATGATGTTTGCAGCAGCATTGACTGTCAGCACAGCGACCATTACTTCAGCTTCCTTTGACAATGCAGCATAGAAAGAGTCGGCAACTCTGGTGCGCCCAACGACAAAACTGGATACAAAAGTGGCACAATGTCGTCTTTTCGGACGAGTCCCGGTTCTGCGTGCAGCATTCTGATGGCTGTATACGTGTCTGGAGGCTCTGTGGAGACCACTCGTCACCTGCTTGCATTCAATATCAACATAGGGGCCCTGCACCTGGTATGATGATATGGACAGCCATTGGGTACACGACATGCACATCTCTAGTTTGAATCGACGGTAACTTGAATGCAGATCGGTACATTTCTGACATCTTACGTCCAGTGGTTGTGCCCTATCTTCGAGGCTTGCGAAATGCCATCTTCCAACAAGATAATGCAAGATCTCATGTTGCACATCATGTTCTGACCTTCCTCGATACAGAGGGTATTCGATTTTGCCCTGGCCTGCTCGGTCTCCAGATCTCTCACCAATTGAAAACATCTGGTCATGGGGGTTGCTGAGAGACTGGCCTGCCACCCCTCTCCAGCTAATACGGTTGATGAAGTGTAACATAGACTTGAAGCAGCATGGAATGAGTTGCCCGTTTCTGTCATCCAAGCCCAGTTCGACTCCATGGCTAAACGGATAAGGGCCATTTTAGCTGCCAGGGCTGACATCTGTGTCTACTAATTTCGCATCCCTGTAAACCCCCAAACTGCTTGCAAATTTAACCATTTTGTCTTCATGCCATACTGTTTACGTACAATAAATATCTTTTTTTTATTTACTTTCCTGCTTGGTGTTGCAATTTTAATGGCCAGCAGTGTAGTAACTCCATAGATTCAAGTTATGTGGATTCATAAATATGCAGCTGTAATATTTCAACATAATACTAAACACTTATTAATTATCACTTTGCATGAATACAAAAGAGATGATATCAATATCAGCTGATATATAGCTACATCCTTCCTATAATTGTCTCATATGGTCCACCTTCAAACTAGAATTGATATAAGTTGCAACCATATGTGTGCAAAGTGGGTTTGTTTGTATCTTGGCACAATTTTTGCAAGATAGAGATGAACAAGTTGAAAAAGTGGATGCACTGTGGACAAGCTATGAGTAGGCAAAGAAACTGTCAAATTTTGACAGTTTGAAAGTTAAAGGCGCATACTATTCAAAAGAAAATGTCTGGATGTTGACTAAAGGTGTAATCCTATTTAACAACATGTGAACATTTGGCAAAAACATTAAGATACTTTTAAAAAAATTCACTTGAGAATGACTGGACCATTCACCATACACAATCCAATGACTTTAATCTCGGCTAAAGGAAGTTCTGCAAGGTCAACACTTCCAATCAAATGACGACGTGGAAGCTGCAGTGGGGAGATGCTTTAAGAGACCGGGCCAATATTTCTTCAGACACGGTATCAAAAGACTCGTATAGTGCCGGAACAAATGTTTAACAAACTTGGCAATTATGTATAAAATTAGAAGATTGATCACTGTACATTGTAATATTGTTTTCATTCCAATAAACATACCATAACGAGAGAATGAGCATTTTCAAACGTTTTTA